ATAAGAGTTGTGGCCTAAATAGGAAATCAAGAAAAAAAAGTTTTAATTATCTTTTAAAAGCAGTTTATCTGTAGTTTTCATCTGATGACCACATAGACTAAATATGAATTGAGTAACTTTCAAAATTCCTAGAGTCATGTACAAAAATTCTTTTTTTAAATATATATTGATGTGTTCCCCCTGGGTGAAAAAAAGGCACTTGTCAGGGTCAGGTTTCCTAACCAAGAACCACAATGATCCAGCTGGGGAATGAACATGTACCTTATTCCTAAGTTCAGTAAACTAATAATTAGGACAGATGTGGACAAGGTTGTGATTTACTTGTTTTTAAAGTGAGAGTGGCTTCAAGCGAGAGCATGAAGCCAGTATTAGTTTGCGAAGAGATTGATAACCATTGGGTAAAGAGTTTGTCCAGTATCTAATATAGTTAGATGTGAAAATGTTGTGATAAGTACCATGAATTTGCTTTCATACGTCCTGTGATAGAAGAAATCAGATTGTAGCTGATTCCCAGATGGATAAGGGGTGGGGGGGATACACACAAAGGACTGATGTCTGAGATTTGATTGGCTGCAAGTTCCAACTCCTGGAAATAGAAAACAGTGAATAGTATGAATTTTAGGCTCTCGATTTCAATTTATTAAGTAAAAATTACACTGTTACGACATCCTCAACTTCCACAGACCTTTAGCTTTCATGATGTTCTTCATTTTTTCATCAGTTTTAAACTTAGAGATAAAGTAGAATGGTAAAAATAGAGAATATTTTTTGGTTTCTTATATTTAACCATATTTCTTAATCATTATGAGGTGAATATAAGGAACATACCTCTAATCCCTTTGGAAGTCTCTTTGAATCAATATTCCTGATTAAATTTGCACTCAAGGTAAGTTGTTTTAGATTTCTCAGTTGAAGAAGACCATCATCAATTTCAGTGACCTGATTAAATAGACACAGTATGACTTATGAATGGAAATTGACCAGCAATGATTTTTTGGCTTAAAAACACTACTAAAATATTACTAGTAATCAAATGAAATTTTCTCTAAAAAAAAACATAAATTGTCTATTACTACAGAGCTGATCTTAGCAGTGGCTTTGATCATTCAATAAAAGTAAATTATCAGTAGAAAACAGGCAGTACTTACACTGGATATTCAAAAAAATTGTTTTAATTTCATTTTCATTATCAAGTTGACAGGTATTGGTAAATTAAATGACAAGACATGATGTAACCACCTTTTTATCAACAATTCTAAGGGACTTAAAGAATTTCAGAATAAAGGCTTCTGTAAGTTTATCTGGTGTCTTGACAGCAATTTCACGCAAACTCTCAGCTTCACTGCTCCATGTACAGTCCACACCATAAGGACTCTTTACAGCCAGCTCTTGAAGACTTTCAACTGTCTCCAACTGAGCACTGTTTTCTATCAAGGAACAGGAAAAAAAAGAAATAATTGCAAGATACAGGACCTCTACTTTTTTTCTGAATGAATAAGTGAATTTTTTCATTTATAGGCATATAAATTAATTAAGGAATGAATGTCAGTATTTATTTCTTGTAGAACAGGGTGATTTAGTATTATCAAATGAGTTGGTAATATATATTCACCACTGTAAAGAGTTTAAAAGTTGATGTTTCAAGCATTAGCCCTTTGTCAGAGCGATTGAATTGCTAATGCTCAAAGCATCCGCTTTTGAAATCTTTACGGTGGCCAATTTGCATTATCAACTGGGTTGATAGCACTAAATTACCCTGTGTAACATCTCCCACTGACGCAACTCCACAGTTTCTCTAAAAACTTGCCCCCTTCATTTATTGCTTGTGCCTACTATAAAGCAGTGATGAAATCTCCGAATGGGGACAGTTCATCCTACATAGAAAAAAACAAAATCTAACTATTTTAGTTTATAGTGAAACTGGCTGGAATTGTTAAAAATGTACTGAAGTTGTTTCTGCAATTACGATTTTGACGTACGCGTTACAGTGCCTTCCATTGATGCAATTAATGAAAATGTAGCTTGAAAGAAAAAGTATTTTGGAGGTATATGTATTAAAAAGAGGAAAGGGATTTCAGAAGTTCATGTTTAAGAGAGAGTCAAGAAAACCAACAGTTTGGTACGTACATGTACATAATTATGTAGACAGTTGATCTATTTTAGCAGCCATGTATAAAGAATATCCTTCTGTTCAAAAGAAGTACATGAACTATATGAATTATGCTGGCAATGGTAAAGATTTGGGACAAGAGGACTTTCCAGTAGAAAAATTGTTGATTTCTCGGCCCCAAATTTCCCTACCAAGTTTGCAAAATCTCTTACACGTACTTACTTCGTAGCTAATTACCTGCTAAAATGGCTGGTACTGTTGCAGATGATCTTGTGCCCTTCAGTATACCAGTGCTCTTCAAACTTATATTACTGCTAACATTAGGCGCTCTCTTATATCAAAATGAAACAAATAGTTTAGTCTCAGATCATATCTTCACGCAAACATTTCTCTACAAAATGTGCAATCTATCAATTTAGAAACAGAGTGTCATGTTATTTTTAAGCCCAATACAATTTCAAATTTCTGCTCACCCAACTTCCATAGCCACAAGGAAATTCTCGGATGCATAAAGTGTTGAGCTGCGAGTGAAACGCAGCAGTAACGTTAAAGGAGGGAAAGCTTTCGGTCATGTTAGTGTTATAACTATTTTTAAATTCTGTCCGTCATTTTTGGTTGCCATCTAAACACTCAAGAACGAGGCGGTTGTTTCCAAGCGAGGGAAAACGAGGAGGTCTGGAATCCAATATGGCGGAAAGGACGTGCGATCGGTGATCTCAAGGATAGTGTAATGGCGGAGAAAAAGGAAGATTTTCTACGAATATCTGGGGATAGTGATTTCCAGGGTCGCAGTAATTCCATATTTGGATGCCTAGACAAGCTTGAACCAGAACAAAAAACTGATGATAGTGAAATCGAACGTAAACCACATGGCGCTCGTCTGCCGAGTCGGCCAAGACGTGTGCCAGATCATATTTTGCACCCTGAGAAATGGACCAAATACAGTCTGGAGGAAGATGGAAGTGATAAGATTCCTGGAATGTCTGGTGATGCACTAAATAGACACGCTGCTCTCTCTTTTATGGATGAGATCCGCAATAGGAAAGAAAATGCTCCAAAAGAAAATTCAGAGTCCGATGTGGAGATGACTGAAAAACATGTGTTCTCGAAATCAGCCATTAAGCATAAAATGGAGGTCGATGAAACACCTCCCCGCTCACAGATTGTGGAGGGTGTGAACGTTATGGCGGAATATGTAGTTGGACGATCTCGGGCCAAAGTTCCCAAAACACAACTGTCTTCAGCTGAAAACCCATTTCGGTCTTCCGAGGATTCGGTCGAACTTGATCACTTGCAAGACCAGGAAGCTTCCGACGATTCCACAGAGAAGACAGAAAATGTATCTGATTCTGCAACAGAAAAACAAGAAGGATCATTTGTGAAAAGAAAGGTCAAGGTTCGCAAGGGATTGCGTGAACGGAAACCAACAGAAGATGATGAATGATTCGTTCATCCAGTCATGTCATATTTACCTTCTCTTTGAAAAAGGAAAATACCATTTAATTTAGTTATTGGTTGGTATATCCATTGGATTAAAGGATCTTGGGTTATTTATAAGATGACATGTTCAGCAAAAAGAATGAAACCTTTGTCTTTGTTTAACCATTGGTTTGCAATCAATTTAAACCACAATTTATTTCCTGGAATCCCCACATATATATATATCACCTAATCAAGGTGTCAGGTACATTGTAATGAGGTAATATAAACAACCCTTTTACACAATCAGAAGGTCAGGAAAACCACAGAAATTGCAAATGACAAAATAAAAGAATTTCAGTACAACCCAATTCTCAGTCATATATCTATGTGAATTTTCAAAACATAATCTAGGAAACAGAGAGGTTACTAAAAATAAATCCATCTAGCTCAACAAGTTACATTAAATTCAGTGGCCCTTGATAAGCAGTCAGCTGAGGGGCTAAATATATTTGACAAAGCAAGGAAAAAAAGAGGCTAGTTTTAGGTTTGTTGAAAGAAACTTCTTCTTGAGGAATTTACAATTAAATGTAATCTAATCACTGCGGTCTTCTTCCTGAAAGAGTGTTTAGACCATTTTACGTTTACTTGAACGATCATAAAATTTAGGTGATTCTGCAAGACCAGTTGACTGCTGGACTTGTGGCACTTCACGGGAATAGAATCGCCTCTCAATTACTTTATCAAAGAAAGCATTCAGCTTTCTGGCATTGAGAGATCCAGATTTAAGTTGTCTTATATCAGTAGAGTTCAGATTTATCATGTCGGCTCCAATTTCCTCTGCAAGATTCAATCCCCTGGATGAGGTAAGAATTCTTGCAGTTCCTGCCTGATCTAGTTTAGTACCCACAATTATGACAGGAATTTGGTTTCCAGCAAACTGCTCTGAGTCATAACCTTCTCCTATGTCAATTGAGAACTCAAACCAACTGTCTCTGTTTGAAGGCTGTTTTTGTGGCTGCTTAGCGCTGAAGGAGCCATTCCCTTCTTTCCCAGACCCTAACACTTCTGCTAACCAACGCCTTAGATTTGTGAATGACTTCTTGTTGGTCAAATCATGAACAAGGATCAATCCATTGACGCCATTATAAAATATCGACCGGCTGTTTTCATGGTTTGCAGAGCCTCCAACATCCCAGAACTCCAAGAAAAAACTTTTCGTCGCTGGCGTTCCTTCTTTGTAGTCATACAATTTTACCTCTGAAGTACATCCTATTGTCCATCCTGGAGTTGAAAGGCATTCATCGTGACATATATGATGAACCAAAGACGTTTTTCCGACTCCGGAATCACCAACTACTAAAATCTTAACCTTTTCCAACGCAGCCATTTTGACACGTCTCTTAGCGTAGAGTCTGGGGACTAGTCACCAGCATTTCTTTTCCTTATCCGAAGTTTAGAACGTGGAACGCCGTGTAAATCTCGAATCAATTTTATTGTAGTTGGAGTACTTGTTTTCTCTTCGTCACTATGTCTGTGCAGACCCTCCTTAAAGCCCAGGGGCTTCGCCAACTGATGCTTCAAAACACAAAATATATGCGGCTTTTGGATGCGTCCTGGCATCTCCCATCAGAAAATCGTAATCCAAAGGACGAATTTTTAGCTCATCGGATCCCAGGGGCTAAGTTTTTTGACATAGACGAATGTGTCGACAAGTCATCACCTTATGAGCACACGTTACCGAAAACCGAAGATTTCTCAAATTACGTTCGAAGTCTAGGAATTAACAACGATAGCCATGTTGTTGTTTATGATCACAGTAAAGTTGGGTTATTCTCGGCTCCTCGAGTTTGGTGGATGTTTCGTGCATTTGGGCACGATCGGGTATCGATTTTGGATGGTGGATTTTTAAAGTGGAAGGCCGAGTCTGATTACCCTATTTCATCAGGTCCAGAGGATGTAGTCGAAATTGAAGGTGAATTCGTTAGTACGTAACTCGTATGTAAATTCTCCTTTCTTCTCCTGCAAGTGTACTCTCGTTAATAAGCTGCACAGGTATCATCCGCTCTAAAAAACTTGGGAAACTATACTTATGAATAAATTCGCTTTCCTTTCAGCAGATGGTGGACCATTCAAAGCTACCTTAAATCCAGGCATGTTCTGTGACTTTGATTTTGTGAAGGCCAATTTTTCAGACCCACACATACAAGTAGCCGATGCACGATCTCCTGGCAGGTTCCTTGGAACTGAAACAGAGCCACGCCCAAACTTTCCATCTGGTCATATTCCACATTCAAAAAGTCTCCATTATGCCAAATTCTTAGAACCCGAAACAAAGCTAATGAAAGATCCAGAGGAGTTGAAAAAAGTATTTGATGAAGCAGGAATTGATCTTCAAAACCCACTTGTTACAACCTGTGGGTCAGGAATCACAGCTTGCATCATAGCTTTAGGAGCACATCTATGTGGAAAGAGGGACACTATGGTGTATGATGGGTCATGGGTGGAGTGGGGACAGCGAGCTTCTCCAGATATGATAGAAAAGAATTAATCGCACACCCTTTTGGTCTAAGGCAGACCTGATAACAAAAAGTGTACCATAAAAAAGTAAATTTGAAGAGGAGAGGGGCAAGGTTAGCTTTGCCAATAAGGGTAGAACATTTCTCAGTACCAGCTGAAGGGAAAAAAGAGAGGTGGGGACAAGGTTGTTAAATTGTTAGCTGATAGAAAATCTGCCAACATGACTAATAATATATTAAGTACATAACAAAAATAGCTTGTATAATGCAATACATCATTCTCATCCAAACAAGAGAGAACTTTGTTGTGTTTCTTTATTTCTCTCTGCTCATAAATTCATTTTAAACCAAATGAATATTTTCTAGTTTACATGATCTCTTTTGTATGTATGTTCTATACAGTACAAAGTGACGATTTTCTTTACACTGCATGATAATGAAATTCAAATAGTTGTCTGTAACAACCTTGTCCAATGTTAACGAAATGATCAACAACTATCACATTGGAAGCCAAGGAACTCCTTAATCAAAGACAATAAAGGTGTTGTAGACAGTTATGCAGCATCTTACATAACACACACTATAGCGAGGTTCACAGTATTTCCAATACAAAATTATCCTTTTGCTTATATATTCCTTATCTTTTTCTAGTACAATTAATTTAAAGATGATGAAATAAGGAACTGTCCAAAGGCTATAATTCTGTTCTTAAGATGAGTATTAAAATACATATACATACATAAAATACATACATTTTCTCATCACCCTATTCCCACCAATGGCATAGCTCCACTTTCTGCATATAAACCCACACACAACCTACAATTCCTCCAATTGCTCTGACAAAGGGCTAATGCTTGAAACGTCAGCTTTTTTACCCATTACAGTGGCTAATTTACGTTTTCAACTCAGTTGTTAACACTAAATTACCTATTAAAATACATATTTGATTCCACCAAACAGAGAGCAACAAGTTGTAGAAATCACCCTTTTACTGCCAAATCTTCTTACTTTCTGGCATAGATCTCCTAAATTATCAGATGAAATTTTAATCAAATTGACATTTTTTCCTTATCCAATCAGCTGTCTTTTTGATTTGGTACAAGAAATTATTTGTTGGTCAGTTCTAGAGGTGAGAGGGCTTAGTGCCTAAAGGGGTTCTCTTCAAACTTATTCCTTCAAGCATAAATATCATTCCTGTAGATAAGGAGTAGCTGTTTTAGTTTCTTAACTCCAAAATGTAGGAAATAAATAGGCTATTACTGTATAACATTTGAGTCCATGGCACTCTAATTCCTGAGTCAATAAAAAATATTACACATTTATAATACAGTGGTTACATTGCAACTTTCGGCAACAGTTAAAGTGTACAGTTTGAGTATAACCAAACATAAGAGTTTATGAATAAAGGGGGTAAGTTTCTAAAGAAACTGTGGTACTGTGTTGGTGGGAGAGTATAATAGGGTAATATAAATTGGCCACCATAAAGAATATGAAAGCTGAGTGTTAGCCCTTCACCAGAGAAAATCTTGGAATTTATGGTTTATAAAAACCAATCTGTGTAGGGATATAATATTGCACATAACATCATATCGATGAGAGTGTTTTCCTTAAGTACACAGATATTTCATTGAAAATATGTTTTGTTGAAATGAATAGTTAAGTTTAGATCAATTGTCAACATCCTCAGGGTACTGGCATTGAAGACATTCATTTGGAATGTATCTGGTTCCGGTGAAACCTTTGAAGTACTTTCCAAGTTCAGGATGGGGGTTCAAAGGCTGATTAGGATCTTCTTTCAGATTAACTGCAAGGAAATTGAAGTAATTAACAATCCCACTATGTTATGCATGAAGAGGGAAAGTGTCACAGAATTTAAATTTTCATTAGTTTAAGACTTCATCAATATTTAACAGAATGACATATGGCTTAGGTAATGGCCTTGATCTGGAGAAAGGCAGAGACACCATAAAAGTGTGCCATCTACAGGTGATTCTAAAAACTGGGTGAAATATTTCAAAAGAACAAAGCATCACAATATCAGATTCAACTAACTTTCTAGTGAGAGTTGCTACAAATTGACCTCTTTGCAAAACAGGGTATAATTTTGAATGATAATTATTTCTAAAATGAGTTTTAAATTCTAAGCTGTTGGGGCACATACTTGACCAAAAAAAATTACCTGTGTACCAACCCACGCGACGAAGATCATTGAAATTCTTCTGATATTTCTTCTTACTACCTAATGGCCAGCTAGATCATACATTGTTTTTTCCTTCCACTTTATAGAAATTCCACTAACTTTTTTTGAAAATTACGTTGATTAACCAGAAATTCAGCTTACTGTGTGCAGCATATCTTTGTGAGCCATCATCACCCAGCACATTGTAAAAAGGCTGATTGCGGCCACCAGGTGATTGATCAACACCCATTCGCTGAATCCAGGACTCATCCATTTCACAAACAGGATCCCATCCATAAATAACACAACCATAATGATACCTGAGGAGAATGTTCAAGAATGACAATAAGTTAGTCTGCATAGACATGTGGGGGAGGAAAGGGTGTTTGGAATAAGGGTTCAGCCCCCACCCCCTTCTTTTGTCAACTTCTTTAGTGATCTAGCATCTTTTGCTTAGATGTTGCTTTGGTTTCCCTTGTCATGTCATCAACTTGTATCACAAGTGCGACCCTTTGCCTTTAGTCAATGGCATTGTTGAACAACTACTCAGTATACATACTGTGCTGAGTCATAACTTACAGCTTGTGCCTCATCACCATTCCAACTTTAAATCCAACTTGAGAATTCCTTGGATCAGATCTTAGTTTCTATGCAAAACGAAACAACAAAACATTCCTGGAAGAAGCTATATTATCAACCCTACAACAGTTTAGACATTGCATGCTGTTAGAAGAAAAAAAACCTCAGGGAAAGTCAATAACTTTGTTACAAAAATTTACCCAACTTCACAAGATAATTGTGTTTACTTCAAGTGAATGCTAACAGAAAGTGTGAAGTCAAATAATATCCAATTCAGTCTCCAACTGTCTAATGGAACTCAGGGATTTTAGTGTTTTATAACTTAACACCCTTCAAATCTCAGAGCCATGATTTTCCCTGTTTGGCTTGTATGGTAAAATGATGGTAACTTGAACATTCTGCCTGCTGGGTCCTACAGATCATTAAGTACCCTGTTGTGGAAGCCATCATGTAACTTCTCCAACTCTTAAATATAAAAGATTTGGATGAAAAGCCATGACAATAATGTACTGCTGTAAATTAACATCTCTTGCCGTACTGGAGGGGGAAGATTTTCTCCCAAATCCTGCATTCTCTTTTTCTGATTGGCTCGTTCAAGGAGATTATCCAATATTCCCTTACGCACTTGGTTTGCACTGCTCTGTAGGATCTGAAGACTGTCAATTGCCTGTGAATGAATTTTGGGTTAAGATAAAACCATAGCCAGCTTGTTTTTATCCTAGAATTTTCACCATTTTGTAATTCAGAATTATTAGTAGAGTTTTTATTAAATAAAAATAAAGTTACTGAAAAGTTGCTGTAAAACACCAAATATTATTATTTTGAGCACACACACAAAAAACTTCTTTGTAGTTTTTCTTGGGCCATTTAACTTGGCCGCTGCTAAGGTGTCCTAAGACCTCTATACTATTTTGTTAATAACACTTATACATGGATGCCCATTAGCAAGAAGCCTTCTAAAAGTATTAATAAAATCAAGGAAATTGTGAAATAAAACAAACCTCTTCTAAGTCAATACCTAGATGAACCTGTATTCTGGCCAACAGCAGTCTGCTGTCTTCATCATTAGGATCAAGAAACAGCATCAGGTCAAGAGCAGAATGCAGACCACTCAATCTAAAGAAGAAATTAGAGTGATAATCAGTCTGACCAAGAGCTCAACTTATGGTTAAAGAATTGTTGTCTTCTTCTACTGTGTTTCTCTTAATGAAGAGCTTGTAGTCATTCCAGGTCAAATATACCACCCCAGATTATTGGTTAATTATTTGAAAAATTGAATCTGTTTCTGTGTGAGTTGCAGTATGAGCAAAGATTGGATGGTTTATAAGTAAAGATAACATAACAGACTGAAAAACACACAAAATACGCAGATACTTCAAGATCAACTAGATTTTTGGACTAATGACTGTTTGATTTGTGACTAATGTCCTGAATTTATGAACATGATTTGAATTACCCAGAGTAAAAAAGAACCAGTACACAGGAAATGACCTGAAGGGACACAAACACAAGGGATATTAGTGTCCAAAATCAGACACTGGCATTTAAAATTGGACACTAGAGTCTAAAATCTGATTCTAGTGTCTAAAATAAGGTATTAGCATCTAAAATATGAAAACTTGTGGCCACAATAGAATACTAGTATCCAAAATCAGACTCTACAATTTTTTAAAAATTTTTTAAAATTGCTTTCACATGTCATGCTCAAAATAAGGGGAAAACACTAATTATAACATGTGTCTTACCGACCACCTGGGTGTTCTTCCATTCTGTAGCTATTTATGATATTGGCCACCATGCGAATAAATACCTAAAAACATGACACACACACACATAAGGAAAACTTGGTATGTGTCAGATGTTGACATGTGTAAAGTACTAATTGGGTTTTATCAATACTTGTCCAGAAAGTTAAACAAATTTTTCAAATAACATGATTGCTAAGACTGAAGGGTCGGAAATGTATTTGCTCTGTGAACTCTATGCTTTTTATAAATCAACTTAACAGTGTCTTACGTTAAAAGTAACTACTGTTACAGTGGTAACAATAACTATCAAAAGTACCTGTGTAGGCGAAGCCCTAACAAACAGTGCATTACCAAAACTTCGTACATTTGCCAAGGGTGATAAAAGCATATCCACACATTGAGCTTCAGTTAAGAAATTTCCACCATTGAAGCAGTCAATGTACCTATATACTGTAGAAGGATCTGCCCTTAAAAATAAAAGGCATTGAAATTCTCTTATCCAAAACAGAAGTTTCAGTACTTGAGCTTGGTAAGGGAGATACTAAATTGATTGTAATATCTGATGAACTTAACCCTTTAACTCCCAAGATTTAGTAGTCACCATTCTCCCCTCTGACTGCTAAACATTTCCTTGTCAATTAGTTGTGGAAATTTAGTGTCAGATCAAGATAACAAATTTCATCTGATAAGTTTAAGTATTCTCATCACCTGTTTACTGGATAATGTGCAGATATCATAAGGAGAAGCTGCATGTTTATCACCTCCTGGAGTTAAAGGGTTAAATCAAGTCCTAAACGTAGATAATTATGAGGAAAGAAATGACACACCAAGGAACTTCTATTATACTTATCATTCTACCAGTATGAAGTAATAAAAAACTTGTATAAGACATACTTTGGGTCCATGTTAGATCTCCACCGCAACAAGAAATGATTTGGAAAATTTATCTGTAAAAACAGATTTACGATAATTTAAAATATTAAAACAAAAAAATTTTATACCATAAAAATAAATGAATATCCCAGGATGGGAAGGAAGCAACAAGGTTAGGAACTGAGGAACAATGATCTCACAACTTGCACAATAGACAATTCACTGGCTTGTCAGCGGCCTCCCTAATAAAACTGAATATTATGGATATGCTCATTCCTTTGCCTGTTTGTTGATTTTTCTTTGGCAAAACCTGTTTGAGGATGTCAGTAACTTCAAAAAGCAAATGCAAGTTCAGGTGGGAAGTGTGTTCATCAGGAAGTGTAAGTTGCAGCTCAAAAAAAAAACCTCCACTAAGTGCACTTGTGGTCACTTTAAATTAGGGGTTTGTTGAGGAAAGTAATTTAAAATAACCTGTCAAACCCTTCATATACCTCAGCTAGTTATTTACAAGTGGGGAATATTTAGTTGCCATCATTCTTCCTGTCCTTTTTTAAGGAAAGTTTCCTTAAAGTATTGATCCTGGCCTGAAGTTAGTTACAAAATGGAAAGCGTCTTCAGATCTTTACTACATAACCAGCCATGTTTTTCCTTGTAAACAAGTAGTGCTCTTCTGCAATGGAGCTGTTCCCTGACAATTTCCAGTGAGACTGCTCTGCAAGTTGCGAGAACATTGTTTCCATTTCATTTATAAGAATGTATGGAAGGTAGCTCCGTCCCAGAATATCCCAAGCTTTTAACAATACACTACTACTCAATTTCCATTCTTGTAAGTTTAAACAGCAGCATTTAGCAACACAGTTTTTGACTTTCAAAAATGAAGAAAGAGAGGGACAGGGCTTCTGGTCATAGCTACTAGAGGTTGAACACTTGTTCTTGGGTGTTGTGTTCCATCTCAGTCTGTACCTCAAAGCACTTCAATAGCTTTCACTTGTTCATTCAGAATGATGACAAAATTACCCAGTATAATCTCAAAAAAGAGAAACTTTATGTACTCACTGGTTCTAATGTAACCCCAAGTCTCCTTGCAAGAGCAGTGAACAAAACTGACAAAGTGATGGGATTACCAGTTCTATTTTTAACAACCTGTAAAAAATAAACAACAAAGAGAAACAATTTAAGGAAATAGGCCAAGAAAATTATCCAGCTTCACAATGGCTTTGCTTTATCTTGAAATACCTGTCTATTAACCTTTTAACACACAAGATCTGATAGCTATTTCTCCCTACTAGCTGCAACACATTTCCTTATCAATTAGTTAGGAAAATTTGATCAAGATAACAAATTTTAACTGATAAGTTTGAGTTTCTTATTACCTGTTTGCTGGATAATATAGGGAGAAATGACATGTTTATCACTTCTGGGAGTTAAAGGGTTAAGAGAAGAGATTCCATGGCAGTTTTCCTCCTAATGGAGGTTGGCTTTATTCCACCTGAGTTGACAACTATACCTGAAAGAGCATCGAGTTCTCCTTTTTATAATATTCATCCACACAGCCTTTAAACTGAAGCTGATGATACAAAACTTGCTTCAGACAAGCCAATATTCTCAAACAAGCTGCAGGATGTGTAACTGAGGTCAGCCCCTCATTACTCTGTGTCATTTGCTCCTCCAGCGGGATTAAGGGTGCTGTGTGTGTACTGCTGTTGGAGCCATGCAGATTCTCCTTTACCATCTGTGCAATTCTATCAAGTTCTGAGAAAGTCTCATTCTCATTTATATCCTCTTCATTGAGAATCCATCTTACAACCAACATAGCACCTGTAACCAGAAAATTTAACGTGAAGGTTGACATAAAAACATGAGAAAGTTTAGTAAGTGTTACTGCTGCTACAGCTCAGTCCAAATTCTACCGCATTAAACATCAATAAGACCATTAGGAAAAGATGCCCATCTCTTCAACTTGATAAGCAGCTTAAAAGCTTGCAGTTCCTTTACCTTGACCTTTCAACTCCCATTAGTGATTAAAAAAATAAATTATCTTCACAATATCAATACAATATTAATCACACAAGTAATAACAATAAAGAAAAATATCATTTAAGGGATTATTAGTTGCTTCAATACCACATTCTCTAAAGTAACATAATAAGAATTGCATAGCAGACAGTAAGGAGGATTACTGATGAGATCTTGGAAGTAAAAGGGTTAATCGAAGGTCAGAGGAGACACAGTAAGAGGTATATGTCTTGCTTAAGACCAAACCATAAACACCCAATCGTGATTAATATTTAAAGAATCAATTATTATCAATTGATTAATGATTGAAAATTATAAAAAGAAAAGTTCACCAAATAAAAAAAAAAAGGGTATGCACCTTTCTCAAGATGTTGTTGTTGTTCTTGTAATGCCAGAAATTTCTTCCACTCGTCCTTAATAGAAAAAATTTTCAGCTGGGATTGTACTTTTCTGGCATAGTGTCTGTGTGTCAAATTGACTTCACTATAAAGCAAAAACAGCTGCAAAATATCAGTCTCTTTAGTGACATGTCTACCATACCAATATTTAAAGTGGCACAGTAGTTATGATGTTCTTTAAAAAGTGCAAATTAAGCCAATGTTTCATCTGTTTTGAAACATTTTATATCTATCAAAAAAAAAAACAAACAAAAAAAAAAACAGCTTTGAGGGAAACGAATTCTTATACAGTTCAGTAAGCATGAAAACATCACTCATACAATATGTATTAACTGATAAAAAAAAACTGCAAGTTAATTAAAGCTGTCACGACATTGTGATAACTGTGTCTCTTACCAATCATTTCCTTGTAAAAGTTCACTCAGAGTATTGTTTACATGACACGACATGACAGGATTTTCATTTCCTAAATACACAAATGTGTCAAACTCTCTCCTGTGAACCTCAGGGTTGTTGTAATATTTCTTTGACATACTCTCTAAAGCAGAAAGGATTTTAAGTTCAGTTAACAGCCTGTCTCTGTAAACTGCACACCAGTTTTCTTTGGGCATGCTTTTCCAAAACCGCCATCTGTAGGAGACAAGTATTAAAAGTCAATCGTGTTTTTTAAATTTGATATGTAAAGCAATGGAACCTTCTTAACCAACCAAGTAGCCAATCAAAACACAAAATTCACTTCATCTCGTCCACTCATGGAGCCAGGCTAGAATTCCAGGTAATTTCTTGAGCCTGCCTGGTATTTGATTCTCCCCAGAGACAGGAGGAGCCAGGAGTAGCGCTGGCTCTCTTCCTGTACCCAAGGAGATGGTCTCTGAACTCAATCATGATCACCGAGTCAGCGAGATGGTCTGGTCCAGAGTGATACTCCCAGGAAAGAGAAGGAACAAGTGTGGAGCACTGGCTTATATCCCATACTCAAGTAGCTGATACCAAAACTCGATAAATTGTCAACTCATGCGTAGAATAACACAGCTGGGACAAGCGAAAGAGAAAAAAAAAAAAAAAAAAGAGACGAAGATACGAGTCTTTACTTAGTCATGGGACATATCTAGGTTGAGAAATAACAGCTTTACGTCGGAGAATACCTTTGATTTTCCACGCAAACCAAGTTTCTCATTTTTGTTCCAATTACACGTACACATTTTCCTTACGTAAGCTAATTACCTAGAGAGGGCCTTCCTCTTCCACAGTTCATTTCCAGTTGCAATAGTGTTCAAACGTGTGCAAACTTGAGCACAGCAGCATAAGTCCTTATGATCTATTAAAGGGCAGGATAGCACCATGTCAATTAGTTCGTCCGCCAACAGCAACAAACTGCTTTCATACTGTCTCTCGCGGATTTCGTCGCCGACCTCCATCTTGAAACATCGAAGCCTCGAGTCCCAGTCTTTCGCTGATAACCATTAAAATGGCTACTGGAATTATCAGAACAAGGTGGGGTTCGTTCGTCACTGGAGGGAAAGTCATGGAATAGGGGTAAACAGGATCAATATCAACATCTAGGCATTTGTTTGCGTTTTGTTGACTTCTGGATGTAAATTTTCGCATGGCACGAGTAAAGTCTCGTGAAAGGGTTTTCAACTTTTGTCTGGACATAGCTGTTGAAAGGAATTTGTCTATCCCCAGTACTACCTATTGTTGTCACTTTCCCTTAATATGCGCTAGGACGATTCTTTCCTTGTACTTGACTTGTACAAGTACAAGATGTACTTAAGTTGTGCTCATGCAGAATGCATTAAGATACTTTGTTACTCCGCACTCAGATTTTTGCGTAGTGACATGTTTACTCAGGGTTTAGTAGGTGGATCAAAACAAACTTGAAAGTGAGAATTCCAGAGGGTGACCATCTCTTCTTTGAAGAAGAATGGTCCACTGAAGTTGTCAGAGCAGGGTGTGAAGGGTCCATTTATTATCAGAGGGAAAGGCATGGAATAAAGGGAAACAGGATCAATATCAACATCTAGGCATTCATTTGCATTTCTGTAGACTTCTGCATTTGCAATTCTGCATGGTGGTGAGCATAGGAAAGAGGTGTAATTAATTGTAGAGAATGAGGGAAGTGAATTTGATAAGTGACTGCTTTGGAAAGGGTGACCACTTAATACTATGATGCTGCCCTCTACGGTTGGAGCATATATGCTTATTTCTAGTCTGCTTGAGTTGGAGGATGAAATTCCATCAAATCCACTATTTAAACAGGTGAGGATTGCGACATAGCACTAATATTTCAGGCCAAACTTGCCTTGCCACACTTTTAGTTAAGAAATATGTCCTTGCATTGCCTTATTTCCTGGAAATTTCAAGATGCCCTTACCTAACCAATGCACTTGGCAATATAAATAGGCTTCTTAGTCCCACAACAACACTAGCAGTAAGATCACACACAATCAACCACTACTTCAGTCAGAAAGAAATTTATTTCAGTGAAGAGCACAATGTGCTGTCACTTTGCATGGAAAACTAAATGATAAATGTAAAAGCACTTTTGCTGTGTCTGCTAAAATCCCTTGTATTTCTATGCTAGAAACAAATGCATAGCATACCCAGCACCTGAAGCAAGAAAGTCAGTAGTAAAAAACAAAACAAGCAAGATAACTATGACAGAAAGGTTGGGGAAAAACAAAAAAACTTCATTGAAAACTTAAAAAATTAGTGATTTTGTCCAAATTTGAATCAGGAAATTTTGGGGATCAGCTTTCACTCCGCTAAATTTGAGGTCTTTCAAACAAAACTGAATGTTTAAAATTCATACCAGATTTAGGTTACCCTCCAAAGAAGAATACTGTATAAGACCATTTTGTATGAAAGATAGTGATTGCTATTCCTCCATTCCAAACTGTGATTTTCCTCCAAAATTGTTGGCAACTACCAAATGAGTTAAGATCCAAATCCTTATCCAGATGATTGAAAGAGTTCCAAAAAACTGACTCCTGATTGTTTGATTTCCTGATTGTTTCCGGTGTTCTGTCCCAAAACTGTACTGGAGCTGACCTCCAGTTCCTATCCTAATGATCCGTGATCACTGACTGACATGAGATGTTCCGGACTCCTCCGGACGACAGCTTTTTATCTGTCACAAGATTGTAAAGAAGTCAACTTGTCAATGAAAATCGCTTGAAAATAGTCTTTTTCCCTTCAATTTCCCAAACATTTAATAGTGTGCTGGAGGAAAATTGCTACTGGCTTGTAATTAATTGACTATGAATTTTAGGAAAATTGAACAAATCTGTTAACTTATTCATCTTTTAATCATAAGTTGCCATAAAGAGTAACTAATTTATACAAAGTGAACTATAAGTGAAAAGAAAACAAACTTGTGGTGTTCCTTAAAACTAAGTTGTATTTCTAATACAAGTGCAAAACAATGTCTGCTGTTTAAAAAGGGGTATTTTGGTCTTGAAGAAATATCACTGTAGCTTAAAACCATGCATACCATGTCCAAAGAACATGTCCTAATGTTCCAAGAGTCATTTTATTTCCACTGTTTCCTTATCCAGTTTGATTTCTTTAGCAACATAACTGTTGAAACATGTTTCATTCCTAGCTTTCCTTTCCAATATCAGAAAGTGCTTGTGCTGTCCTGAAAATAATACCATGGAAAAGTAAAAGATCTAACTAGCCACATACAATATAGAATTATTAAAAGAGTCCTTTTTCTACAACTAAGGGTTTAAAGTGAAAGCCTTTTCTTGGTGGTAATACAACACAAATAATACATCACAGCAAACAGTTTATGTCTATGAACGGGAACGAGAACGGGATCTGGAACGCCTTGGAGAGACTGATTTCCTCTTCTTTGGCGATCTTGAGGGTGACTTTGATTTCTTTGGTGAATAAGACCGACGTGGACTGTGGGAACGAGAGTGGGATCTTTTTCTTGGGGATCGGCTCCTTGAAAGTGATCTGCTACGACTTCGTGAACCACGTCCTGGATTGTCAGGTTTGACTCTGATGAATGCAACTTCACCCTAGAGAAAGAGAGAAAAATGATGAAAACAATTATACATACTTTTCTCTGAAAAAGACAAACCAAGTACTGTACAAGACTGGCAGTTGTAACAATTAAAATTGTGTACCTCGTGTGAGCGGAACTTAGAATCATCCAGATGTTTCAAGGCATATTTCATGTCATCATACCGAGAAAACTCCACAATGCCAGTTCCATCTTTAAAAACATCTGTGAACTGAACATCACCAGCATCCCGCATATGATCCTTGAGATCTTGCCAGCTACCAGTCGGTGGCAAACCAGAGACCATAACACGGTAATCAGAGCGCCTAGGAGGAGGACCACGACCACCTCCACCTCCACCACCACCACCACCATAGCCTCCTCCTCCTCCTCCACCACCAAACCCTCCACCTCCAGAGCGACCTCCACCACGGCCACCACGAGGAAATTCTACACGGATCCTCTGTCCATCAACTTCATATCCGTCTCTCCCTCTCACTGCATCTTCTGCATCTCTGTACAAAGTGACATTAGAGAAATAAAAATAAAGCAACGATTTTCTACCTCCTGGAATTTTCTATGGTTCTAACTACAATAAAAATTAAAACGGAAAATCTTAAAAGAAAAAACCCGCAAAATAATTCAAGGAAAGAGTGTATTCGAAAAAATCTCCAACTTCATTTTTGCCAAGCCATTTACACTAAACACATTTACTGACCCACTATAAACAGCATAGCTGTGTAAACAGTCACGTTGAAAATACCAGACTTATAATCTTTTCTGAATGGCGAAGGTTGAAGAACAAGGAAAAAGGAAAAAAAAAAGAAACAAAGTTTAGAGATAGGAGCTTATTGCAGAACAAAAGAAAGGTTCCGGGAAGGAAGTCAAACCCATCCTGGCATCGAAAATGGACTGATGCAAAGTGAGAGTTTGAGTGCTGACAAGAACTGTCGATAAAAAAAGTTGTATTAGGTCACTGAAGACATCATGTCAGATCTCCATACCTTGGATCACTAAATTCGACGAAGGCAAACGGCGTGCCACCAGTTCCGTATCGAGGAATCTTCAAGTCAACATCAGAAATGTCGCCGTATTTGTAAAAGATATCCTCCAGATCTCTCTCATCTACATTAGATGGTAAATTTCCGACGTAAATTCGCCTACTGTTGTTATTACTTCGGTTCATCATTTGTAAAGCAAGTAACTTTTCTCGAAAACGAGAGCCACACAAGAAGGACGCCTAAGTTCTTTCGAAAATGGCTGACCACGCGTCCAATGATTAAGGGAGTCCTTGTGAGATAGCAGGGGCTTTATTAATGTGACGCAAAGAAACGCGTAGGATTCTGGGTTGATATAGGCTGTGGAAATAATTCTAATTATTGACGAATCAAATCTTCAGCTTTGAGGCTCGTATCCAATCGAAATTAAGCAGGAAGCAACCCACTTTTCAGATGCTATCCTTCTAATATTTGAGTTTTTTCAGCAATTGATCAAAGAAGGAGAGTTTTGTTTCTTCGACAATTCCCTCAATATTTTCATAGAATATTTTTTTAAATAGTCAAGGTGAGTTATATCTCATTATATTTCCTCATGACATTTTTGAGCGAAGGAAAATCATCAGCTGGATGCTGCCTATCGATCGATGACTCGCTGTCTTTTTCGTATTTAGGCTTTTTAACGTGTTAACCATAAATGATCGATAAATGAAAAGAATTTGGACAGTAAATGTGAAAGGTAGATCAGTATGCAGGCAGACATTCTGTTTTTATGAACATTGTTTTGACTTAATGTAATATGGTTCGGTTTATTCTTTAATTAGCACTTGATAAAGCAAACAGCCACCTTGCATTTCTAGACAGGCTAATTTTCTAATTTTGTTTTCTTGGTTGCCATGGAAACAGAAACTATAATTAACTTTGTTGATTTTTTAATTTGCATTGACCAGGGAATTTTATTATTTTCTGGTGCTTATGGTATTTGGAATTCTTATAATGTTGTTGTCTTGTCTTGTCAACAAACTTCACTAGAAGTCAGATTTTTTGAAGAATATTGGCAAGCAAAGGAATCATTCTCTATACTGTTCACCACATCTTTCTTATTAAAGGTTCTGACAAGGAGAATTTTTTTGACAATCAGGAGTTTGTTTAGTTGGTGTTGGTTTCTTTCATTCTTGTGACCTAAATGTGTGATTGAAAGGTGATGCTATAAAGAGAAATTAGATACAAGTTACTCTTAGGGTTAATGTTTGATTTATGTTCTATTTTCAGATGTCGGACAGGAAGGCAGTGGTTAAAAATGCAGACATGTCTGAGGACATGCAGGCAGATGCCATAGAGTGTGTCACACAAGCCATGGAAAAGTTCAACATTGAGAAAGACATAGCAGCATACATCAAGAAAGAGTTTGACAAGAAGTACAACCCTACATGGCACTGTATTGTTGGGAGAAACTTTGGTTCCTATGTCACCCATGAAACAAAGCATTTCATCTACTTTTACCTTGGACAGGTTGCTGTTCTTCTGTTCAAGTCTGGCTGAGAATATGAAGCTACCTAAAAGAGAGATTGTCCTTCAAGGAACAAAGGGACTAAAATATATATCCTAAATCTCCATTGTGTAAATATATTTTCATTTTTATTTAATTTTTTTTGTGTGTTGCAAATACTAATATAAGGATGTTTGGTGTGAGACATGACTTTTGATATTCCTTTTCCAAATATAAGGTTTAACTAATATAATTTTTTATTTATAAGTGGAGAGTCCTTAACTTAAATGAGAAATAAACTTATTTATCATTCTGTGTGTAACATTTCATGTTCTCTGATTATTTCTGTCTTTTTAATCTGTTTTGTGAGCAGACCTTGGTCATCTAAGGAAGAAGTCAAAGAGGGCTTTTTAATTTCTCTTGACTATGTCAATAAGCATAACCTTACATTTTTTCAAGGTTATTTTAGTTTAATATGAAAGTTAACTCTGGGTGAGTTGAGTAGTGTTTTTACAATCTGACCTTACATCAAAACTGGATCAACACAAACCTTCTTGTACTTGTGAACCATGGAACAAATTTGTCTTGGAATGAAGGACATAGCTCCCATGCCCTGTTTTCTGTTATACTAACAATTTGATGAGTAAGCATGTCATCATATAATTTCAACAAGTGAAAAGGAAGTCCATGATAATTAAGATGTACTCTCCCTCTCCCAGGGAATACACCAGAATTTTCAGTGTGAGTGTGCTGCCTTGTTCTATAAATCCTTACTATCATTCAGACCAAACATGCCATTTTCCAAAGTAGTATTCAGACCTGACTCAAGCCCATTTAGTTATAGGAATACCTGTGTTTCGAGCTTGTCTTTATTTTTCCGAAATTTTTAAATTCTGAAAATTTCTTCTCCCCTTGCAATTTTTTTTTTGGAATTTTTGTCTTTATTCCGTGCACGTAGAGTGGCCGGAAATGGGGTGAATTTTAAGAACATAATTCAGAGTTCGAAGACCCGTTCCGCAAATGTCGGGCAATATTTACAAAACTCAAGTGGGATTTATTAATTTTTTTTCATTCAAGTGCAAGGAAACTCGATTCAGGAATTCAGGAAACTTGCTGCTCTAAAATTCTAATAACACTTGAAATGTCTCAATATATAATGGAGGAGTTCAATAAATCTCCATCGACTTCCTCTCAGCGTCGCAACTCTTAATTACAAAACTTGACTTAAGAATTTTATTTAAGAATGCAATCAGGTGACTGACACTGTCAAACCTTATTTACTTATTTACCTACTTTCTTATTGACATAATACTCTCTAAATCCCAGAGGTTAAATTGGGAAATCTGCATTAGCCGGTGCCACCAGCCCCACACTTATCATACAGTAGAAAATTCCTTAAAATTATCCTCGATTCGTGGCTCGGTAATGGAGCAATTTCCTCTCGAAACCTTTCAGAGTCAAACCCAGAGAGCACATGTAAGTTCTTGTAACATTTATACAAAATCTTACCGGTCTGATTTATAACGCAGAGGAGACAGACTTGTGGATCTGTAAGGGCATGTTACACATGATCTAGATTAAATTAATCTCTTCTCAGTTTTACATTACGATAAACTACATTCCTAATGTAATTACGGGCCACAGCTTTACCACAGATAGTTCTCTAAGGTACACATCGACAGTCGTGAAAGACGCTTTAATGTGCAGTTTTACAAATCTAAAGATGTGGAGACAACTTCCGCAAAATTTAGGAAAGGGGTGGAAAGGTTGGGCTTTTGCCTCTCGGCTGTTACTTACTGTTTCCATCTTTTAAACTAAAAAAAAAAAAGGTCACGCATTGAAAAAATGTGTAGTAAAGATCGTTGATTCGAATTCGATTAAAATCAGTTTTGAGTTATTTTCCAGGCTGAGGACTAACCCGGTCTGCCGATATCTAACAAAAAAAGTAAAGCTTATTTACTGCGTGACTTGAATCGTCATATGAAAGAGTGTGAACTAGGCGTGTGACCTGATCACGCAAACAGAGGCATTTCTCGCAATGTACCCTGGGTTGATATAGGCTACCGAAAAAAGCTACGGAATTTATCCAATGAACAATACGCATTATAGTAAATTAGGTGTTCCACGGCGTGGGTCTAAGACACCAAGGAAGCAATGTTGTATTTGTTTGAGAAAGGTGTTTGATAAAGAGAATTTCGGTGGCGAAGATCTGTGATAGTTGCGGAAAACTGTTTTTAGACAGGGTAAGTTATCTATTTCTTCTTTTTCGCCTCTTTCCTCGATTACCCCATAGGCGTGGTCACCGGGAAGGGTGATGAGCGCGTGGAGAGAAAAACTAATTAGAACGTTTTTGGTTGCCGCAGATGACCGATCGAAAAGCAGTAATAAAAAATGCCGACATGTCTGAGGACATGCAGTCAGATGCTGTAGAGTGTGCCACACAGGCTATGGAAAAATTCAACATTGAGAAAGACATAGCAGCATACATCAAGAAAGAGTTTGACAAGAAGTACAACCCTACATGGCACTGTATTGTTGGGAGAAACTTTGGTTCCTATGTCACCCATGAAACAAAGCATTTCATCTACTTCTACCTTGGACAGGTTGCTGTTCTTCTGTTCAAATCTGGTTGATTTGACTCTAAAGATCGCTGGATCTCCATATAAAATGCCTTGTAGAGACTTACAACTTAAGAGTTTGTACAAAGTGAAGGTTGCTATGTTGTATTAAATCTTGTCACCATAATAGTTAGCTAATATATATTCCCACTGTCTTATTAGACACACCTAAGCAAGTTGTACCTAACACTAGCTATTATACACCATACTATCAATGCAAGCTCTTGGAATATTATTTTAAGAGAGCAGAAACAATTTTCTTTTTTTTTTAATGCAAACCTTCTGTTCATCTGTAGTTGCTATGCTTAGAATTTGGACTTTAAAATTGACTTTGCTTTATATTATTTCAAATATAGTTTCGATTTAATAAATTATTTTAAAGTTTGCCCCAATTGTGTTATGGTTTGTCTTTTAAAAATAATTTTTTCAACCCTCTCCATCTGAATTTTTTGGATCAAATCCTGCTGCAAAGCCATATGTTGAAAATCTTTCACATTTAGTTATGCCTCATTCGAGATGGTCATGTTATAAAAAATGAAGTCAACAATTATAAAAGATCACAATATTTATTCACAAATTTCAAATGTATTCACAATTTAAAGCCTGAGTGAATGGCTGCTATTCCAAAGGTTAAGTTTTCATGAGTAACATAACTAAATCCTGCATCTTCAATCAAATTTGCAAACTCTTCCTAGAGGAAATAAAAGTAACTAGTCAGACAAATTCCAACATTACTAATCCATGTACATAAACAACAGTGTCAACAGTTTGAAATTCCTCTGTGGAAAGCTCATTTCTTGCTCATCAGTGGAGCTTTCAAACCTGATCTTGCTAACAGAGACCAAATGTTGAGATTTACTTTTGAATAATCATATGATTACATTTCTTCAATGAACACAGAGCTGCAGACACATCAAATAACTCTTCACTTCTGAGAGGGGTAAGGCAGCTGAGTAAAGAAAGTAACAAGCAGAAATGCGTGCAAGCACAAAGGAAGCAAGCTCCAAATGCTCTCTTTAAATCACATCCCAGAGGAAGAGAGGAAGGAACCATTAATGCAAAGAAACGGAAGATATACATGAATTTCCACAGAGGGCTGTGTATGAGGGGATGATAAACTGAAAATTTTACTTTGTAATGCATGTAAAATGTTCAACAAACTTTATTGGACAAACCTGATTTGGAAATTGTCTAATGCTTTCAACTAGATACTTGTAAGATTTCCAATCTCCAGCTATGATCTGCCCCATAACTGGTATAACATCAAAGGAATATTTCTCATAGGCACTGTTAGAAATATAATTTATATCAGACATCCAAGTAAGAAATATCAGACTTGACTGAACAATCTATAACATGTGCATCTAGGTAGACTTAACCACAGACAAGGCTGGCATCATAATTCCTCTTTGCCTGATAATATTGTATCACAATGTTTTGAAGGAAAATGTGGAAAACATGGTAAGCTAAAAAAAAAAAGGAATGTTTTAAAATGTCAGCCTTCTGGTGGGAGACACAACAGAATACAACCCATCAACTGACATGACAAGTTGACCAATGTCTGCTATAGGAGTTCTTTGGGGGTCATGTAGTTTTCCATTGATCCTCAAGCCCTAAAGAATAATCAAAGACAATAAATTGATGGTACCTAGAGATAAGCTCATTTTTTACTTCACTGAATTCCAGACACAGGAATCTTCCACCAGGAACAAGAACTCTGTGGGCCTCACTCAAAGCCTAATGAGAAGCACAAAAAGAGAGAAAGAAAATTATTAAATGAGTAACAGCTGATCATATAAAATGTTGATCCTTGTGACAGTGGTCCTGAAAAAGACTGCTATGGGAAACTGTGAATGAAGATTCTGCTTTCTGATCAGAAATTTCATTGCTGTCAAGTGATGACTTCATCAACCTCACAAACAAGACTCTTTTCCAGAACAGTTAGCACCAATGAAGGGCTTAAGCATAAAATGTTGGCTTTAGAATCTTTTTATGGTGGCCAATTCACTTAACTCAGTTAATTAAAACAAATTATCTTTTACAAGGCTACCTTGCCCTGGATTTTTTGACCAAACAATGAGAACAAAATACATCAACTATTCTACAAATTTTCAGAATAAATACTGAATAGAAAACATATCAGTTCACTTATAATCCAGAAAAAGTAAAAAAAGAACAGAGTTAATGGTAACCTTATGAATTCTTGTAACATTTCGGATTCCAAATGCTATGGTGTAGGCATCAACTGATGCAGTATCAATTGGTAACTCTTCTGCATTGCCTTCAATCCATGAAATTCCTATGAGAAAACATTTAAGAATTATCAAATCAAAGGCTCCAAACTAAGATTCCATCCTATTCTTGTACTAAGTTGTAAGGCAAAATGTTAACTCTAACTAAAAAAGTTTTTCTTCTTTTTTTTCCCCCTCTGATCTGAAACAATATTTCACTGTGGTATAATAGCTGATAACACTTCGAAAATGCAGGATAATTTTGCCATAAATGCATTACTACAGACAAAATAAATTCAATAACTTGGAAGTGAAATCCCTGGCATTGTTATCCATTACCTCTCACAATTTTGTGCAAATCTGCTAAGTCATTTCAGCCCTTGAATCAAATTCATATGATAAGTGATTAACATGAAAATTTTCCTTTCGATAAATCATCAAGAAAACAGGAAATGAGAAATACACACTCACATGCTGAGGGTTAACTCAAGGCTTATATTGAAATGATACCAAATTTTCCTAGATACTTTACAAGGAAATATAACACAGCTACACAGGAGATTTACAATCAGATCTCAGCAGCTTAAGGTTGAAGTAATCAAGTACCCAGCTCTTAAACCTGAGGATTGATGGAGTCTTTCAGCCCTTTGTTGGCCAACTTGTAGCATTGCTCTGTTGATATCGCACACTGTCACATGGGAGTCAATACTTTCTCCTCTTTGTTTCCTTTTTCCTGATTTTTTGTTAACATGGTCTAGGAATCTGAATGCAATGTCACCTGTAAAATTTCAAAACACAGTGCAATAACCTATCAGATTAAAACGGTAAACTTAATAATTGGTATGATGTTTAGCACATTAGATCTTGGCCATAGTAACAATTTTCTATATTGGGTTAAAACTACATTAGTTTTGATACTTAGAATCTGCAGTCACAGCAAACACAACACACTTGTGAGTAATTATCCAATTTTGGGTTACTCTCATCAAGACAATCCAACAAGAGAATGGTTTCACTCCTTGATTCAAACCATTTATTATGAACCACATCTCTCTCTAATAACAACTTTGTTTACCTGTTCCTCCAGCAACATCCAACAGTTTTGTTCCAGCAGGAGGATTAAGTATAGTGATTAACCTGTCCTTCCACAGTCTGTGTATCCCGAAGCTCATGGCATCATTCATTTTGTCATATGAACTTGCTACACTCTCAAACACCTTGTAAACTGATAAACAAATATTTGTAGTACAAGGTGTAGAAAGTGTTGACTACTTATTCAAATAATAAATTCTGAATAATCCCACTTAATTTGTTTAATTACTTAATAATACTTGACCTCTGTGTGTTATTAAAGTTAATGGTAAGTCCTAGGTCAGTCTGCACAAGACAACATAACTCAGTGAGATGTTAAGCATGAAGAGCCACGTGTATTTGTATGCGATACAACCAGAAGTCTGGAACTCGCATGTCCACAATTATTTTTTGCATTGTCAAAGCTGTAATTCTAGCATGTATATTGAGCTCTTTGGGTAAAAGATCATGCATGTAGTTGCCAAGTTTTGCAAACTAGTCCCAGATACGTATTTATATAAGTCACTGTAACTGCTTCATAGCATTTCTGAAGAATGATAAGGCATACATGTTTTATTCTTAAAAAAATCATGTTTATCCACATAATAAGCCAAAAGTAAGGTATTACAGATAAATAGAGACTGACTGTCCATGCGGCTCCTAAGGGGGGTGGGGATGGTGATTTATTTGACATCTGAAAGAGGGAAATTTGCACATTTGTGAAGCAAAAAAAAATCAAGACCTCTGATCTTGTCTACCTTTCTGAGTTTTCTCCTGCTCTGATACTTCTTCAAAACCAAAATGCGTACTTTTCTCTTGTGTTTGATAATTTGAGTACAGACGATACCTTGGTGTGGATAACAAATAATTGCCACCGCAAAAACAGCGTGGAATAGCTTCTAGAAATGACCTTGATTTTGAGCGTAGGGCCGCCATCTTAGAAATAAAAATTATCCCATAGTTCAATGCGATCTCAATGTTGTTTTCTTCCTCGTTTAAGGGGGAAAGTAATCAGGTACACAATTCATTATTTTCTTTGCATGTCTGGCGCAGATTTGACTTTGTTGCCTTTAGTCGATTTGACAAAGGGTTCTTGTATTCAGATATCGTATTTCGTGGTCACGATTAAAGTAAGTCCAAAATGGTGGCCTGTAAAAATATTGCTGAATATAATTTTATTTTCGCGCGCGATCAGACATTCGTAAAGCGCTCGAGGACGTAATTAGAAGCCTCCAAACGATGGCTATAAAAAAACGAGGTAAGACTTCCTGCTTTTCAATATTTTGTTAATTGGATCAAATCAGTTTTCCAATAATATTGGGTCATGTTTGCCATGTTTTGTTGTCACAGACTTCCAGAAAACAGCGGGGCTTATTCAGGAGTTTCTTTCGAAACTTTCGTGCGAGGAATCGACAGCTGAACTTAGGGATTCTATGCATCTTGTCCTGTTCTACTTGCAAAAATACTACAAAAAACTTCGTAGCAGAAGTCTTTCAAATGGTGCATCACCAAGATTTAATGGCAAATCGCTGAGTGGAAGCTTTGTTTTTAATGGGGGTGTGAGCCCAGTGAGTCCAGCTTGTGGAATACCTGATCAGTTCGAATGGAAGTGGTACAATTTGGAATCACCCAGGCTGTCTGCTAGCCTCGGTACAAATGAATTTTCTTCATTGCCTCTCGTCCTGCAAGCTACAAAGTCTGCAGATTCACAGCTTTTAAAGGAACTCATAGAGAAAGGTAACGCTAATTGCTAATTGAATGCTAAGCAAGAAATTATTTCGCCATTGTTTACCTTCTATGCAGAGTAATGAAAACTTCATGTTTACGTAGTACTTAACGAGTACACTTTTATTACAAATGTTCGAAGTATCAAATAAAATTATCTTGAAATAAAAACAGAAGTCAAGTGCATTAGTATCGTACAGTTCTTAGTCCTCGCCTTGTAATTCAGCTAATTTGCGCTTCAATGATCGGAGATATTGATAAACTGGTCATATTTTCATGAATGACAGGTTGTCGTGACTACCCATTTTCATTACAGTGTCAAAACAACCCCAGGATTGCAATTTGGTTGTGCCTTACTTTCCTCCAATTCTGTGACCGACATGGCAAACTTGTGCCTCTTGGACCAATTAGATACAAAACTGTTTTTCCACACCCTAAGCTGTTTGCTTACTCCCACTGTAAGATCTCTTAGGCTTCTAGTGACGTTTCTCCTCATTTTGAATGACGGTTAAGTTGATTATGGTCATGGCGCTCTAGACTCATCCTAAGCTATATTTTTTTATAACAATTTCACGAGCAACAATTACGTAACTTCTTGTTTCACCCTATTGTCATATGGGCCCTAGTCAGATATCTCCAGCCAAAGTCAGATCATTCCATCAAAAAAGTTAGGTCACTGTTGAAGGAAAGTTTCTTTTCTCCAAACAAAAGTGATCTTACCTGATACACAAAACTACAACCAGCTGACTGTATGTCACTGACCATATGTTACTTAAAATATGTTACATTTAAGATTCCGAAGTTGTCAATCAAGTGGATGGCTTAGGACGTAATGCTGCAATGTACTGTGTTCATGGCAACACACCTGCCCATACAGAGTGCCTGGAAGTACTGATAAGAGCTGACTGTGATCTGGATCTCAAAGCAAATGGTATCAGATATAAACTGTATATATTACAAATACTACAGTAACTATAAATGTAACTTTTACATGATTTAAAGTAATTCTTAAATTGACCTACAGTAGGTACACACCAGTGCTTAATGTCTTTTTGCCCTCTTTTAACTTGTTTGCATATGAAAAGCATATTTTCATGTACAAGTATACTATCTAGTAACTCTTGGGAGAGGATTTTTTTGGGATCAGTGAAACATAAATGAGATTCCAAGGACCTTAATGTTTGCCTTAGGAATATGTTGGGGTACCACCACTTGTTTTGGGTATTTTTTTTGTTATTGGGAAATGGGTAGGGTATAATTTAACTTGATATCTACTTTGTATTTCCTATCGTTCAATTTTGGAGTACATTTCATTAAAAGAAGTGATATTTATTATTTCTATTTTTTTTTGTTGCACAGATAACACAACAGCACTTCATGTGGCTGCATACATCAATAACACAGCTGCCCTGCCTCTTTTGCTTCGTAATAAGGTGACTATAATGTTCTTCTCACAGGTCTGCTGGAACTTCTTACCATTTCTATTAGATTTTTGATTCACCCAAATCCAGCACTATGGGAATGATGGTGTTCTCCTCTTTGTATAGGCTTCTCATAATGTTGAAGACAATCAAGGCAGGACACCACTTCACTGGGCAGCAGCAAATCCATCAGAGGATAATTTAAAGGTAACATAACAAACACATTTTTATCTCAAAAATGGAAATGTCTCCCTCTCTTGGCACACCCAAGGTACTTGGTCTGGCTGTGGCTGAAAAAAAGTATTTATGAATGATAATGCAGGCTTCAGGAAGTCAAAAACAGTGTGTATCTTCGACAGGCAGATATCCCTGTCCTAGGCCAGGTTGACAGGCCAAAAAATGACGCATTAAGACCTGAAAAGGGTCCACTTGAGCACAGGGTCACTTTTTTTTTTAAGTTGAAAATAAAGGTAAGGGCTTAATAAGACTGGAGTTATGACTTGCTGTCTCCCTACACAGGTTTAGCAGCTACAAGTGATATCTATCATTTGAAAGGTTTAAAATGACCCTTTTTTATAGTTGGCTGCTGGTGGCATAATAGGTGATTTCAGTTGTGAGGAGTTCATTCAAACATCATTTGAAATAAATTCAGAAGAAAGAAAAAAGTGAAGATGCCTGTTGGCTTTAATTTAAAAAGTTGATTTTCTGATCTTTGATTAGCTAGGGAGTAGGATGTAACTATAAAGAGCTTATGTTTGAGAATGATCCATTTTTATTTCTTTACAGTTATTACTTCAGGTTGGAGGGAAGTTGGATGCTGCAGACAGTGAAGGTTTAACCCCAACCATGTGGGCATGTTACTTTGACCAGCTTCGCAATCTACAGATGTTACAAAATGCACTGGCAAGAACTGATCCTGAAGAAGATGCAATCTTCAGAGATACAGACTGTTATGGTCAGTCTGTGATTCACTGGGCTGTCAAAGGCATGGGATCTTTGGAGTGTCTAAAGGTAAATGAAAGTATCTGTGTTTATTGTTTGAATTGTTGTTTTAAAATGCAATTATCTAATTATGCAGATGGCTTTACCACTATAAAAGACTGCTGTATATTTTGAGCTAGGCAGCATTTCAGACCATTGTACTATTAAGTTGTTGACAAAACTTTGACCTATAATCTCTCAAGAAGGATTGCTCTCTACATCAATCTATAGTCTGAGATAATCATTTCATATGTTAGCTGTCACAAATGACTGTCAGTTAATTGTAATAGATAACCAAAGCCCTCATTGATTGCCACTTTAATAATTGCCTACAGTAGTTATTGTTCTTCAATTTACTGATACACAATTTTTTTTATAAAATATCTAGGCTCTATTAACCCCTCAGTCTGCAGTTCTAAGGGACAATGAAGGCAAAACAGTATTACACACAGCAGCAGAAAAAGGCAAGGACTACACCTGTTTGAGTCAATGTATGAAATGAAATAATATTACACGAGTCTTGTGTCATGTACTCTCACAGTGTTCTTCCTTATTTTAAGCATGACAGGTTAAATAAATTTTCAAACTGGTAAAGCTATCCTTTTACCTGTTGAATTTCAAGAATTCCAAGCAATTTTAAACGGTAATAAGAGGTACTACAGGTGCTAAATGTTACTGGTTACTGCCTGAAAAGGACTCTCAACTCTCATAAGTTGAATTTCATCATTCTAATTAACCTGCCTTTTTAATTTTTTGTCATTTTGATAATTCTTTAGCAGACTATATCCATAAGTTATAATTACTTTACTTTATATGAAGATCTAGTAATTCTCATGATAATATTTTTAAAAAATACTGAATAGTTAACCTGAACGAAAAGCCCTATGGTTTCTTTTCAGTCTGCTTGGTCACATAATTGCTTAAAAATAAATGGAAATGATATAGATATTTATGAATGGGTCATTTTACAGTTGTGTACTTAGTTGTCAAGCCTTTGATTTGGAGTGAGGCTAAAGGTGGTCTTGCTGTGATAGAGACCAGTACCTAGTTAGCATAACAACAAGGTAATTTACCTTTGAAAGTAGCAAGGTTTGTATAATAACAAGGTCATCCTTAGCTTCACTCTTGTTAAAAGACCTGGCAACCAAGTACACAACTGTAAAATGGACTATTGGATTTTAATATGGAAAATGTTGATCTATTTGGTATAGTAAATGGTGCAAGTTTTAGCATTTAAGGCAGCTACAAAGCTATCTAATCCTTTACTATTTTCAAAATGTTGACTTGCATGATGATGCTATGTTTAATAATTAAATATAAATTATTTGACACTCCTTGGCAGGGATTGCAGCTGCTTGTGAGATGATTCTTAAAGTGAGAGGAAACTTGGAAGGACTAAAGGATACAGATAACTCAAAAAGAACTGCAGCTCATCTTGCTGCTATCTGTGGACAAGCAGAAGTTGTGAACTTTCTCCTTGAAAGAGGAGGTAAGGAAATCTGTAGGACTGTCAATTATCATCAACATTGTCATCACCCATCATGGCAGTAACCAAATAAGGTCATATATCCTCTCCCAAGGCTTCTCTTGCTACTTTTGCAGTGCCCCCATTTCACTATTTAGTGCTTCTCGTCCCTCCCCTCCCTCTGTGCTTCCAAAGGTCATTGTTAGCCTTTCTAGTGTACTTTTGATTGTGATGGCCATGTTTTGATAGTGGCAGTATCATTAGCAGTGTCACTGAAGTTATAATAAGTTCATATTAAAGCTGATAAAAGGAAAGGGAAATGCTGGAATGGCAGACAAGAACAAAGAATTGTGTCAGCTCAAGACTGACAACACTTCAAATTTCATTTTGCAGGAGACCTCCTGGTAAGAGATTGTTTTGGTGCAACTGCAGTTGATTACATCCACAACAAACAGCTCAATTATTGTAGAATGGTGATCAGAGCTCATTCACAACACAATGACAAGCACACAGGAAAGGCTGCCTTTGTATCAACACCATCAAGTCCTGACAGGTAACTTACTTAATTAAAAAGGATTCATTGACTGAATGAGTCAAACTAAAAGTGAAACAAACTGAAGTGAATTTTGATGCTATATTTACTTCACCTTGTGTTTCAATGGGAGTATGTCTCCTATAGTAGCTGTTACTGAAGAAATTTTGAAAATGAAAGTTATCCCTGGTAACTAACTCTAGAAAATATTACAAATGAAATGGATTATTTATTTAGTAAGATTAAACATATATAAACTATAGGTATGTGATATAACAAGATGCTTTTTCATTGAAACCAGGAAATCTACAGTTGTTCTGGACGCAAATTTGTCATATGAGCTATCAATATTAAAATAATGAAATTATTCAGTAGAAAGTTAGTAAGAGAAATTAATCATCAAATGAACAAGGTGTTAACCAGATTTCATGAAATAAGAACTTATTCCTTTTATAGTCAAAATGTGGATCCTGTAAACTCATGGCAGCCTCCGTCTACAGATGAAGCAGCTGCAACAGCAGAAGAACCTCACAAGGCATCTGTTGGTGCGGAGAACTGTGATGTGTCTGACCTTCATGGTTTTGATGTACAGGGGGAGTCAGGGCACCTTGGGGATTCAGCAATGAATGAGGCAAGTCATGAAGAAAAAGAAAAATTTTCAGATCATGATGCCAAGGCCTTAGACAAAGCAGACAACAGGGTAGAGCAGAGTAGGCCATCAAACCCAAAACGGCGTCAGAGTACACTTACAAGGCAAAGCAAATTTCATCATGATGGTGATTCAAGACATTTAATGGATGAAGCTGCAAGTTTTGACCTGAGGACTGGGGATGGAGATATTTTAGTTGTAGTCAGTAACCTTGACACTGAAGATCAGCAAGAGGAAATTATTGACATGGAAGATGGAGATATAGAGATTGACTGTGAGGAAAAGTTGGAATATTCCAGTGCACGCTTACAGCAAGGACGTGGCAGTGCATCAAGTGTACACAGTGAACCTGATAATGCTGATAATTGCAGTGTTAGTGTTGGACTTAGTGTGTCAAGTCTTGGCAGTGATAATGAGGACATAGTTCATGGTGATGACTTAACAGACTACCCAGATGGAGACAAGGAGAAAAAACAATGGCAGGAAGATACTTGTGATTCTCAACCTCAGGTAAATTGGTACACATTGTTAATGATTTGATTGTATTTATGTCCTTTAGTTCATTGCTATTTTCCTTATCACCATGGGTGGTGGCTTGACAACCACTGACTGTAAGTCAAATTAAAGGAGTTTTAATGACATAGTGTATTTGATGTTAAGGTTTGTTCGGCAGTTCTTTGCAGAATCTCACAAGAATACAGAAAAAACTGTTACACCTCCAAAGTATCCATCAAAACTGGCGCAGCTAAATTATGTTCAAGCAGAAAACACCCGTATCATTACCACTCACAACAATACTGAAGGTGATCAAGAAAATCGTGCTGTATGTTTGAAGAAAAAAAAGGACAAAGCTAAAAAGAAGAAACAGAAAGGACAATTAGAGCTGTCATCACCCCTCCCTCCTCCTAGAGCCAATGTTCCACCCCTTAATCCTGCTAGTTTGGGACCCCTTGGTGTCACCAAATTAGGTGCTTTAGATCTTCATGGGAAAAGGCCAGTTCCTTGGGAGCATGTAAGCTTAGGGCCTCGGAGGCATGCTCCTCCTGAGGTATCACCAACCAGCCCCTGGATGGGAAGATGTCCAGAGGGCCAAGCTCTTGAAAGTGCTTTTGAAAGACCAAGAACACCTGAGCCACCTCAAAGTCCACGTGACATGACACCACATCATTTACCTCAACCATATCCTCCTGGGTCTATGCGAGGAAATCAAGATGCTCCCTTGAGAGGGTCCTTGGAGGGAGTGTTACATGAGAGGGAAATGAACTACGGCCCTCCTGGTCCATTGTTTGGACCTCTGGCACGTACCAATGGTCAAGCACCTCTCAGAAACATGGTGAGTAAAAGCAATAGACTTCTGTCTTTGAAGCCTCTGAGGTCAATAACAATAATCTTGGTCACAAGCACTTTTAAGAACATTTGCTAAGAAGTCTGCAATGGGAGGGATGTATGGTTATCATTGAATGACCACTGATAAAGCTAAACAGAACTAGTGTATTGTGAAAAGTTTTGTATTGATAGATTTGTATCTACTGAGTAAATTTTCTCCAGGTAAGCTTGCTTTTGTCTTGTTTCATTGACCACATTTCCTTGGAATAATTTTAGGACATAATGGGCAGAGGTCCAAAGATGGAATCTGGTGCAGACTTGAACATGGGTGGAGTCATACACCATGGACCCCCTGGACAGCAGACTTATTCTCTACATGGGCCCATTCCACATCCTCCACAGCATTAATTAGAAGCCTGAGTACCAGGACATAAACTTTTACAACCTAACAGCATATTCTCTTATTCTCCATGCATTTCTTATGATAGTGGCAAGGCAAATTTTTTAACTTTTTAGTTTTCTTTCTTTTCCTTTTTTCTCATGGCCATGATGTGTGATTGAACAGTCCTAATCTAAAGAGACTTTAGATACTTGTTATTCTTATAAGTGAAAAGGTTAAAGAAGAGAACTATAGTGCATAAACTATTGTTTGTAAGCTATGGTGCAGTTTAAGCTAATTTTTTGTAGATTTGGCTTCAAAATGGTTTCTTGTTTCAGTGAGAATGAGATTTTAAATGGTCAATGTGGTGTTACCTTTCACATACGAATCAATGCTGACAGGTAGAAAATAAACTGAGAACCAGTTTTTGATGAATGTTTAATCTCTGATGGTTTGGTTTTCTTGAGTCAAACTCCAAATTCAGGTAGAACTATTTATTTCCATTTAAAAAATATTTTGGTTTCTTTAAGAAAATAACAGTTTCAGAATATCACTAGTTATTTATTTGAGTGATGACTCCTCAGTTCTAGATACCATCAGCTTGTTCTAAGTTATTAAGTATTTAAAATATCAAGGTGAAACTTTATTTATCATATTTACATTGTAAAAAATATTTTGTTATCTTACAGTCCCCTATATGGCATAATGTAAATATAAACACACATCTGTACAAACGCGATCATTTTGTTAGACATATTGTTTAGGTCAAACTAGAAATGTACAAAAATCACATTCAGAGAAAGCAGTTATCTTTTCTATTCATTTGTAAAGTTAGGATTAATGGTAGGCATTCAAACAATTTTTACCTTATTTTCTCTTTTTTTCTTACCTCAAGAAAAGTAAACACAATTTAGGAGCTTTTTTGTAACATTTTGAGCCAATTTTTTATAGGAATAACTTACTTTCAGCTTGAAGTGAAACCTTGAGGTCAACATATCGAGGTAAAGGATCAATGTCAGTATCTAGGCAACTATGCTCCCACCTTCCCTAACTAAACCAACAAAATTCAACCAATATGAATTTAGGGCAAATTATGGATTTGGGGAGGGGTAGATGTGCATTAACTCGGATACGAACTCTAATCCAAGTATGTTTCAAGACAGGGAATATTAGAGAAGGCCAAATTTTTTTAATTGACATTGCTCCTAAACAAATATTAGTGTCAAGTATAAATACTTAACACTCCTAAAAACCTCTCTAGATGTAGTTATATTAATTAAAAATACTGAAAAGATTCAGTCTATGG